GAGAGAGAGAGAGAAGAACATATAATTCAAGAGAAAGAATGGGTTAACCATGCAAATGGGGAACACGACTGTAGTGCTTCAGCGTTGCAGAGATGCACTGTAGCAGCAGCAGCAGCTTGACGAATCCCGTTTTGGTTATTGTTATTGTTTAGAGAGAGAGAGAGAGAGAGAGAGAGAGAGAGAGGATGATGGATGTGGACAAGACGATAAAAGGTTGCCTGACTTCCATTTCCATTCCTCGCAGGCTTGTCCCATATTTTGTGCCTCGCTTTCGCCCATCCCTAAACTCCTCTCTCTTAAGAGGCTCTCGTGTATTTCTCAGTCTTCCAGACTATCTATATATATATGCATCTCCGGCCACCATTCAACGTGAACTACTGTTGCATTATATTGGAACAATGAGGTGAATTCTGCACATTTTTCCATATTATACATATGTTGGAAGCATGGGCATAGTTAAAGGAACATGGAAATGCTTGCTATCTGATCTCTGTGGACCATGTACACATATGTACATTAGTTGGAGTGGCATTTAGTCTGTTGCTTGTGTTGTAAACGAGAGAGAGAGAGAGAGAGAGAGAGATGAGAGAGAGGAATGATAAGATATGGGAGGTCTCTTCAGCTTTTGTCACCCAACACAGTTCATTGCCTTTCTTCACCTACGAGCCGAGAGGTCTCTTCAGCTCACGTCTCCCAACACAGCTCATGCCATATCATTGCCTTTCTTCCTCATCTTATTTCCTTCCTCTTTCACCATCACCACGATGTTTCATTTCTCCACACACCCACCCGTACAGGACGTCTGTCCTCCATTAGTCCCGACGCCTCCATAAGAAACACAAAGAATTCAGAGAGCATGGACGACAAAAGTGGATCACTCGCAGCTCTGTTGGAAGGAAGAATGGACTATGTCCACTTCATTGCTAGAGAAAGTGAGGGCTGTGTTTTCTTTGGTCTCATGATTAGTCACTTCCAAGTTTGGCTTGGCATGTCTTCCCTCCCTTTTTCCCATCCCACCAACAGATCCGATCACAGAACACTGCTGCAGATAGGATAAAGAACACAATGAATTGCAGACATGAGGAGCTTTGGCACTCGATGATGCCATTTGATAGCTGGCGATAACCCCAAGCTGTTTCGGAAATGGTCGTTTCTTTGAGGCCGCACCAACAACGCACAACAAGACAACCACAATAATCCATGATTAGGACAGTACGTGGTAGAAGCTCCAAGGAACGCTTGCCATGCTGCTGAATCCCCATAGCTCTAAACCTTTTTACTGTATCTCATGTGAGTGCAAACCGTACTGCCAGCCATGGCAGTAGCTCGCGAGCTCGATCTTCGCAGAGCTGCGTCGGGGCATGCATGCACACAACAGGATCGAGTACAGGGCTGGATCTACTGCACTGGGTTTGTGAGAACCTTAACACTCGGCACGTCCTGCAGCAGTTCGGCCCCCGGGGAGGGAGTGGTGGACTGGAGACGAGAGCTCGCTACTGCTGTCTCAGAGTACCGTCTTCTTCTTTGGGACTGCTGTGAGCTGGGGACGGATGATGGATGTAGGGAATCACGTGCCAACGGGGGCCTCGTATTGCATGGTCGCACGTGTGACTGTTGCATGACCTCTACCATCGAATGGTGTTGGCTGTTTTGCACAGGAGCACTGTCCTTGGTGGACTCAATGACAGTGATATATATGGAGGATCTTTAAATCTGGAGGAATATATTGATATTATATTAAGATTTATTGATGTTAAAAATTAAGGGTAAAGGTAAGAAAAAAATAGAGCAGACATAAATGATATTTTTCCTGATCGATTGATTTTTTAGAAGAATAAGTTTGGTCAAAATTGGTCAAACATTCGTATTATCCATGCTGAAATCGACATCCATTGCAAATTGGGCTGATCATAAATAGGGCCCAATCCGACTATACTGAACCGGACCGGTCTAGCCGCTAAAGTGTCTGGAGTGTTTCGGCCCGGCCCGATTTAATGAATCAGACCGGCATAGCTGCGGTACTAATCTTGAGCGGAGAGGTCTACAAGGCGTCGAGTCGAGGTTGTTGGAGTCTGTCACCATATCGTCGTCGATCTCCAACCCACAACAGCAGCAGCCCTCCGCCGCTACCGCCGACGCTTTCCCTCCGCCCTCACCTTCCTCTCTTCGACCCTTTGTTTCTCCTTTTCGAAGGCTGATTGATATTGGGGTTTACCGTAGAAGGAGGCAGAGCTGCAGAGTGTTACGGCGGAGATGGGGTTTTATGAAGGTCTAGGGTTCCATTTCCTCCTCTGCTGAGTTCTGCTACCCATTGTTGCGTTACGGTGGTGATCGAGATCGGGGCCTGAGAACCACGGATGGGTAGACTCTGGCTGGGTATACCGAAAAGATCGTTACCGTCCCTTTTCCTATCGAGAAAGGTTGGCATCGGTATGAAATTGATCTTCTTGCGGGTTAACGTGTACTTTTGGTTCTTTACAGTTCTTTCTTGATTTGTTGCAGGCTTTTGGCCGTCCTTGGTCCTCGCCGATCATGGGTTCACCATTGGGTCTTGTCCAAGGGAGGAAGGAGGCTTTCTCACCATTTATGAGAGCAATTTCTCACCTGTCAACAAGTAATTATTTCACGAAATAAATTTTGTACGTTTCGTCAAATTTGATGTAGTTCTTGATTCTGTTTAATTCTTCTGTGCACTGTGATTGCAGAAGAAATGATCTCAAAGCTGAACGAATGAGATACTTAATGTAGTAAAATGATGCATTTTTATATGTTCTCGGTGATAAACTTATATTGAAGTATACAGACTATTCCTACATTCAAAAATGCTGGTGGAGTTGTACTTCCGTGGAAAATGATGATCTGTAGCTGTACTATATATTTCTTATAAATTATATATATATATATATATATATATATATATATATATATATATATATATTAGAAAAGCTCTTTATGTATTATATATAATATATTTATTTTAAAAATATTTTATATTGAACTTGTAGACCAACTACTAGATCCGCTGGTCTAACCAGTGAACTAGTGACCTGAGGCTTCATCAGATCGATGTGTGCTCCAGCTTTGATAATATGCTTAGCTGATACTAATTGGCTGGACTTGGCCAATCTAATGGGAATTAGTGAGGAGGGGATGGGGGTGGTGAGGGAGAGGGAGATGATTCGTTGAGTGGTTGAGTGATAGTTGTAGGAGGAGAGAAAGTATAAGAAGACTATTAAAGTCATGAGGGAGAGAAGGCATAGAGACCTTTTGTGTAAAACTGTGATTTTGAAGCATAGGATGAAATGATACTACTATCACATTTGCCAACCACTATTTTTGTTGCATCTTCAACCTATCATTGCGAGATAAGAGGAGAGTTTCAAGGACAAGGGAAGGCAAGGAAAAAGAGTAGCTTTTAGCCTCTTTAAGGAAGAGTAATATCATGGCAAAGGAGATATGTTGTAATTTGATATCAATCGTGAATTCCTCAAGCATCCTTCTTAGAGAAGTCCTTTTCATAACTTTGCATTACCATTTGCAACTGTCTCCTGCCCATTTGTGAGAAGGACTAAAAAATTGGTAACAAAAGCATGATACTTAGAGCCGAGGGGTTGACTGATGCGCCAGCACTACTACTTGATTGAGTGCTAGCACGTAGGTGTGTCTTCAGAAAGAACTTCACCACTGCGAACTGGTGCCCACCATTATAGTGATCAGAGAAGCATTGATCCCCAGTGTGGGCCACCGTTTTTTTTTTAAGTTGTAGGTGGGTCAGTTTTAAACTATTTTTGGATTTCATTTACACATTATTATTTTACTACAATAATATATAATCATAGTTATTTCCTTGATTTTTCATCTTTTTATATATTTTTTCCATTATTATAATTTAGTCATTATTTCAAATAGATAAAATATATTTTTACAAACACCTTTGATATTTTTGTATGTTTTATTTTTATTCTTAGAATTTTAAGTTTATGTTCTCAATAGCTCCCAATGTCACTAGTCCAGTCTTGCTAACATCATGGATTCCAATTGTATCATTCTTGTCAGATCCTGATCACATGAATCTTGCTATGAGCCATTTCAAAAATGATAACTCAGATTTGTTCAATTAGAACTGGCTAAGCAGTTGTGCAAGTATCAGGTTGTATTAATGAAATATCAGTTTAGATGACTCTTGCATTTGGTTAAAGGTTGAAGTTGCTTAGTGTGAAGGGCGTTCAGTTTCTACCAAAGAGCTACAAGGTCCTATTTTGGTAAGATGGATAGAGATAGTGAGAAGATACTATTTGGAAGGTTTTTGTGATTGGTATTATAATACAAGTACAAATAGTAGAGTTATTATTTCTTTTAGTAGGATATAGAAGATTGTTAGTTTTATGTTGCAACCTGCCTTTTTCTTTGGTATGATTCTAGCAGAAAGAATCAAGGCAATCTTTGAAGCACTTCAAATGCATGACACAACTTATGGTGGTTACTCTTAAATTCAAGGTTTGCCTTACTGGTCCAAATCGACGTGCCAACCAGTATGTGCCACCTCATACTAGTGTGTTGAGTGTCGGCACAGCGGGGCATGCCAATGGCACAAAAAAAAGGCCAAAAATTGCTACGAAATTACCAAAAAATAAAAATTTTGGTCATGCCGACGACACATAAAAAAGGCCAAAAATTCCTCTAAAATTACCTTAAAAATAGAAGAAACTTAAATTAGGATTTTTAAGTTGGAAGTAAATGTAAATTTAGTATAATATCAGCAAAAATATTCTAAATTAGGAAAGAACTATGGAACATATTTTTTTTGGGCTTTGAAGAGCAGCTTTGCGGCACGTTCTGGATCGTCCTTTCATTGATATTGAATTATCTAGAAAGAAATGATTTGAATTATTAGATTTCGAGTTAAACTTTATGATTTAAGTGAATGAAGTAATAAATGGATCGATCGATGGATATATCTAGTTCTACCACCAAGAAGAGTGACGGGACTCCTTGGGCAGTGGATCGGGATCCTTGATCTTATGTATCTGTATATCAATATGATAATGATATGTTTTCAGGATCCAATCCTGAAATTGATCCCACGACGTAGTATACTGATACACCATATGTCATTGGTGCATCAATGTAGTGATGATTGTAATCTGATCATCGTAAACCACACTTGTCCTAGGCGGCTCCTGTGGTAAGTATGATTGTGACATGTGTTAGTGCAGAGGTTGGAGAATGCCAGATTTTTTACATTCGTCATTGATTTGTTACTCCGTATCATAAGATTGATCACCATACCGTTGCTTGGAAAATAATAACCAACTATTACCATATTGCTTTTGACCGTAAGATTTTCCATAATACGATTATCCTCCCAAACTTGGTTTAATCCACATATCACAGCTTTACTAAGTTTAAGAGAATGCAAATGTGAGAATAAGAGAGATGTGAGTGAGAAAGAGATTGAGAGAGTAGAAAAGCTTGAGAAAGTGAAAGGAGAGTGAATGATGGGGTATAAAGGTTTTAAAAACCCTTAGATTCGATTCAAATGGTCAAATGGATCGTTTGAATTCAACAAATCCTGGCCCTTCATCGATAACGGTCGAAATCCGACCGTGACCATACTGGTCGAAATCCGACCATTACCATACCAATTGGCAACGGTCGGATTTTTACTGTTACCAATGAAGGGTTGGGTTTTGTTGAATTCAAACAATCCATTTGATTGTTCCACCCAGTATAGACCGTGTATCACCTGATACAGGGTCCCTTGTTATGGACCGCCCAAGACAGGGTGGTCCACATATGGGTCCCCTGTCGGACCGGTATGTACTGCCCTTAAATTAACCATTTGCCTTCTAATATAATATGCAGGTAATTCTAGATGTGATTGTGACAAAATAACAAAAAACTCTCATTGAAACTGTAATGAACCACCTTTTGTAATTTGTTCTTGGTCCATTCTTGTGATACAAGGAAAGAAGCGTATCAATTTAGGGTTTTTTAATTCTGTTGAAGGATTAGGTTATTGGTCTTGGCATATGTAAAACGCTCCTTTTCAATCACCAATGTTTTTTGTAAAATCATTATGTTTTATGGATGTTCTTTAAAGCCTGTTACTATAAATCTCTCATGGTTTCTTTTGCTTTTTTTTTTAGTATTCAGTGGTGAATGAAAAATTTTAAGGCTAAAGTAACTTTTTTTTCTTATATTGTTGGTTCCACCTTGCAAATCTTCCATAGTTTTTCATCTTAACTAGTAGAGACTGTGCCTTCGTCTATGATTTGTAATCAGTGGTATAACTGAATTTTTTGTTCTTCATAGGTCCATTTAATATCCGTGCATGTGTCTAACACCTCTTCTTTTTAGGATATGAAACCAATGGTGGTATTGTTGAAGGAACCCATGACTTTATGAGATTGAGGACATTTTTGTTAAGCCGATTCTTTCATGCAACAGGTAATTGATTAATGCAGATGTTGCAGTTTCCAATCTTAAAGAGGTACTTCACTCTTGGCTGTTGAAATGCTCACAATTTTTTTTTTGTGTGTGTGTGTGTGTGAAGGACCTTGTTATGCTATTGAACGGGACTATTATGAAATTCTTGGTATCCCACAAGATGCTTCATTAGATGATATCAAGAAAGCTTTTCATGCGGTTGGTATCTTGCTATCAGTTGGTCTACATTGACTATTGGGCACTTGTTTTTAAGTTCTTTTGCAGAAATATATGTGAACTGTTTGAAATTGTGGCTAGCACATGCTATGTTAGGCGGTTAAGAAAACTGTCACTGTAATATGGTTGTTCAGATTTCAAGTGGAAGCAAGTTGCTAACAGTGAAAATTGGCCTACCCATGGATGATGCTGAAAAGATTTTGAACTGCATGTACAGTAGACTTGCATCACAGGGTAGAATCCCTGTTTGTATGTGAAAAAGCAAGCCAGTGGGAGAAATACATCTTTGTTGTTAGCCTAGACAATCTACTTCTCTTTTGGGCCTTCTAGACCTTTACAATAGCTTTTCTTCCCTCTCTGGCTGCGGCCATTTTGAAGAGCAAGAGAGACCTGATAATGCTCACTCTAGTATAATAGAGGATCATATCTCTTCTAATTAAGTAAAGGAGGCAAGTTGTTGGTTCATATGAACATATTGAATAGATAGTTACCATTTTTTATTGGAGTGAATCTTTCCATAAAAGAATTTTGTAGCTTCCTCTACTGGCTGCCTACCTGAGTCATCCTTCTAGAAAATGATTTTTCCAAAATTCTAAGACAAGACAAATTAGGCTTTGGAACAGCTTTTGTGGATAAATGAAAACATTTTGCAAAGTAGGATTCCTATCTTCTTGTGTGACTTGAACATGCAGCATATGTAGCTGCATATGCAGCTACATACATCTTCGATGATGCTTGTGTGTTCCACATAAGAAAGAAAATGCGATTGTATACATGGTTATGTTACCTCCTTATTGCTATTAGTACTATTATTATATTATTTTAATACTATAAGACATTATCGATGAAAGTATAACTTTAATAAAGTACATCTTAATATAATTCTGTATAATTTCACTTATATCAAGATGTATAAAATTATTCCAGAAGTTTCTGACTTAGTCAAGGCATTTGCTTGTCCATTTATCTATCTGAATCCTTTTTTCCTCATGATGTGTTCAATTGTATTTTTCAGAAAATTCATTTAATAACATATGCCCTCATACTTAAATGTCACATATGAACTAGCAGAAGGTTTTTCATTGCATACTGCCTCCTAAAATACAAGGTACTAGTCATGCAGGGAATACAACTGCTTTTCAACACTTTAGCTTTTACAGTTATGAACTTTCCTTCTTCAAACAATGAGTCTCTGGCATAAAATTGATGGAAAATTCAAGAAGCAGCAGTAGAGCAGTTGATAAGAGATTTTTTTATCAAGCCTGTGTTAATGCATATATCTGATTTTTTCCTTTCTTGTTAAATTTGATGCTCTAATCTGTTCCTTATTAATTGTGCTTTATATTTTCTCCCTCTTCACACTTCTTTTACCTTTAACAAGTGTTTATCCAATCTGACAAGAAGGCCTTTTGACTCTCTAGACCATCACTTCAGAGTCCTATATGACAATTTAGGTGCCACATTCTATGCTTGTGTTGGTTTTCTGTTGGTATTGTCACATACTGTTATGGCATTTGCATTGCAGTACCATGTACTGACATGATTTGTATTGCCCATAATTTAATGTACATTATTGGCATGATGTTGTTGCATAATTCACTATGTTTCTTTCTGTAAATAATAAAATATGAGTTAAGAAGCTTAATTATATTGCTTGTTCTGGAGCTTCAGCACAATTTTTACCTATTCATCTGTATTTTCTTTGCAGCTGTTTTTAATTTATTCTTAAGGATTTTTTGTTGTATGTTCTTTCTGTTTAATTTTTAAGCTGGCTAAGAAGTACCACCCAGATGCCAACAAAAACAATCCTACATCAAAGAGAAAGTTTCAAGAGATAAGAGATGCATACGAGGTAAGGTATTCAGAAAGTTAGTTTGGACTTTTAGATTGTGTTTGATTTGGATGTACTTTGTATTTTACTCACTTGGACTTGTTATTGCAGACTTTGCGAGATCCCAAAAAGAGAGCAAAATATGACAAGGTAACCCTTGTTTGTTAGATATATTACTAATACTCCTCTATGTTATATTTTTAGTTACCCTGCAACTTATTATGGTGCCTTGTTTCTGATGTTGTCTAAAGTAGTGTTACGAGAAAAGTTTGTGACTCACCCATATATTTGGGTTCCATGCTGGTTGGTATAATATGGTACGGGTACCATGCTGACTTGTACAAATCAATCAAATTGCCAAGGCTGTGTTGTGATGTAGTGTGACATCTTGTTCTATTACCGGATTGGCATAGTATGATATTGTACCTTGGCATGTCTCAACATGGTCAGCATGGAAATGCTTGATCAGGAGTATCCATGTACCTTGGCATCAAAATGCATGATATTGTACCTTGGCATCTCTTTTCATTTTGTTATCTTTATGCATCTCTATTTGGTACATGGCACTATTCAGATTTTATGTCTAACTTTTGCTACAGAACAAGTTGATAAAAGCTATCTAGTTTATTGATTAAGGATTATAGTGGTGTGTGCGAAGCATCTTCATGTGACATTGACATATGCTAGTACAACATGAACAACATTTTTCTGTACCATTCATCATGCCTTGCTGGCACATGGTTGCGACATTACAAGATATCATGGCTCAATATGCACGGCCAAATTATTGACAGAGATTCAAACATGATATATTCATCCTCTCTGTGTGGTGATATTAATGTGTTAGTACTATACCAATTTTAATCCTTGATATGAACAAGAAATAGCTCGGCATAGAGTAAATGCTCATATGATGATGATCTAAGATGTACATTAGGACTCACATAACAAAAAAAATTAATTATCTGTGATAAAAATATATTTTTTTTTCTGCTGATCCATTAAGGTACAGATTGAAGTGTACATGTAAAGCTAATCATAGTGTTAACCAAAATTGTTAGGAATAACCTTGGTCCCTTCCCAAGCTTCTTAGACTAGCTAAATGTCTTTAAAACAAAAGAAGACCTTTAGCACTAAGGCGATGACCAGGCTCAGTCAGGCACATGGCTGGTTATCTGGCCTAAGACCCTGAAAAGTGTTGGATGCTTTAGCGGCGGGGGATATTAAACTGCTGTGAGATCTATGTGACTATGTCAAGTACGTGCGCCATATATTGTCACCCATTTGGTTACCTTTATGGTATTGTCTTGGTATCGTATTTGCCCATCAGATGTCATAATATCCTACTGACATGATCCATGTCTGTCAGAATGTAGTAGACTTTTCATCCTTACTCTATTCCTAATGTCTTGCTCCTATTAATGGATTAAGCATATCACTTTATGTACTTATCGTTACTCATTATGTTGATTGAAGAAATCCGTCCAAGGGTCAGAGAAAGTAGGCTATGCCGCAGATGACACGGAAGGGTTCCATGAAGCCTATCATGATCCTTTCTCAGAATTCCACAAAACCAATCATGGTCCTTTCTCTAATTCATTCTTTAAAATATTTACTGAGGTAAGTAAGATGTTTTTTACCTTATTCCACTAATTTTCTATAGGTAAGTGCTATGCTTATTCTTCTTGCTTCAGGTGTTTGAACATGAGAGAGAAACATATGCAGCTGACACACAGGTTTAGTCTTGCTTGGACCTTTGCTACTCAGCTGTTTCTTGATCTGCATCCACATTTGCTTTATGAACTTACATCTATTGACACACAGGTGGAGCTAAATATATCATTTTCTGAAGCAGCTAAAGGTTGTATTAAGCAGGTGTCCTTTACCTCACAAGTTCTCTGCAGCTCTTGCCGTGAGTAGATACTCTAGATATGGGCTTTTAACACTAATTCCTTCTCTAATTTCTTATGAACCCTCTACTCAATGGGTATGTTGAATATGTTATTAGATTCATTCATTTTGTAGTCTATATTCTTGAAATCCGTACAAACTTCCTCTTTGTTCTTAAATTGTACACATGCTGTCTTTAATTTTCTATATTTAGAGTATGCCAACAAGTCAATATTAGTTTAATTATGTATATTTGAGTCTTTTTTTATCATAACTAATTGCTGATAATCCATTTGTGGATTCTTATGCAGTAGCTTCTCATGGCTCGAATCTTAAACCAGATTCATGCTTTGAGTATCATAGGAACTGTTTGTTTGTTGAGACTTACATATGCATGTCAAGTTTTGCTCAATAATTTAGCTTGATCCATGAATTAACATCTACACAGAAGTTTGTAATTTTCTGGAAGTGAACACTAGATGATATCTTTATAAAGATGTAGTTTCTTCAAGATTAATGTAGCACAAGCTTTTTATTAGGTTGGGAAGAGAGTTTGTGACTTTGCAATGACCACTGGTAAGTATGGATCACTGAACGATCAATCTATCATTTGTTGTCTGATCCCATGTTCTACCTTTGATTTGCTCCTAAGGTCAATTTGCCAGTGCATCTGACTTCTTAGTGTAATATTCTACATCTCCTTGTTTCTTAATTTGCTATGGTATTTTAAATATCTTATTTTTCTGTACAGAAAACTTTATTATTCACAAAGTTCATCTTCTGGGATAAGAACATTGGAGAAGGCTGCATGTAGTCATAGGCATGGGAGTAGTTGAAATAAGTGTGTGAGAGGATTTCACAATTGGTTGAAAAGATGACTTTTTTATAAGCACATTGGTTGAGTAATGAACTAGGAAGTTACAAATATGATTTTTTTTAAATTAGGCCTAATCAACTGGTATACTCACTTTTGTGTTAAAAAAAAGGAACAGTTTTGTTGTTTATATTTTTTTGTTTGTGCATTGTATGATAACTTGTGGCTTGAAATGATGCAGATGGAAGGGGCCATCCTGTTAATGCAAAGCCTTCAAGATGTCCTACTTGTAATGGTGTTGGAACAGTGAGTTTCTTTTGTATTTAGAAATTAGAAGTGTAGAGTAACTATCAATACTTGAAAATGTGACTTTTCGTAATTCTTGTGTCTTGATCTAGGTCACAGTGTTTCCTTTTACATCTACTTGTAGCTCTTGCAGAGGGTTGGGGAAGATAATCAAGGTTGATAATAGTTCTGAAAAGAAAATTCTGATGTCACTTTATTAAGTTCTACATATATAATCACCAATTATATCCTTGCAGGATCATTGCTCAGCATGCAGAGGGTTGGGGGTGGTTGATGGTGTGAAGAATGTTAATGTAACCATTCCAGCAGGTTATGCTATTTTCTTTTTCTATCTGAAATTGCACCAAAGAGTGAATTATCTCCAAGTGTTTGTCCCCTCTTTCATATTCAATCCTGTTTAAGACTTGGCCCCTCATCTTCCTTCCTGCTTTGTGGATATAATGATGATATAATGCTACGACCATTCTGATTGAAACTTAAGATTTTTGGTCCCTTTTTCACCATATTATCAGTTGCCCTTTGCTTCTTTTCTTCCATTATTATTAATTTGTTATTTGTTCAATATTTGCCCATTAGTTCTAATCATAATTTTTTTCCCTGCTTAACTATAGTTAACATTACATTACTGCTCCATGTGCTTGATTTTTTGTTTTTTTACTGATTCTTCATTTTGCTTGACATAGGAGTTGATTCTGGTGATACAATTAGTGTGCCAAATGCTGGAAATCAAGGTGGAAATGGTGTCCATCCCGGAAATCTGTACATTAAGTTGCAGGTTTTCTCTTTTTTTCCTGTTATCTTTCTTTTATTGGCATATATCTCCTTGCTTGAGACTTATGGAACTTCAAAGTCTACTCCCTTGCATGCTTCCATTGTTTTTTAGTTGGTGACTGACTTGCAATTTTTATTTTTCAGAGCTTTCTAATTACTTTAGAGAATCTAATAAAAGTCACAAAGTAGTTCCATACGGAGTGATAAAGCTTATTAAGTGAAACTGTTGTTGTGTATTTTTATTGAACACTTCTGTTGATTTATAAGATCCACTTGATTTTATTTTAAGTAAATTTAAATTGAAAGTACCGATTTATTGGAAGTGTTTCAAAATTTGAAGGCATACTTTGTACCTTGCAAGAATAGTGAATTTATTTTTTGCAAGGGTACTCTTTGTTGTTGGACTTATGGATTTTAATAGCGTCGTCTAAGATTTAAACTCTTATTAGGACTTCGACAACTTCAAACTATGGAGCTTTCTGGTTATCTATTTTCTGTTGTCTAAAATAGAGGAATTGTTTTGTATATTCTTTTGCTATGAATTCACGTCATTTGTTTTTAAAGAGAAAATTATTGCTCCTAGTACTATTGTTATGTTTTAGTTGTTTTTAGCGATTTTATTGTCAGTTATTTCACTAAACTTGGTTTGGAGTGTGGTGCTATGCCAGCAAAAATAGTGATCAATGATTCTCATTACTTCTGCTTAAACTGATTGTCTTCATTGAATTTGTAGCCTTTTACAACCTTTTGATTTCTTTTACTTTGTCATTCTCTTTTTGTACATGTATTTACTTTAATGGACCAATAATTTGTATTATTGTATTACATGATTTATCATCATATTTGTGGCATTTATTCTTCTGAATGTGCTGTTTTCCTTTTAATTCTTATTCATCTTTATTTTGGTGATTTAGGTAGACAAGGACCCTGTCTTCCTACGAGATGGTTCTGATGTATATGTTGACACCCACATAAGCTTCACTCAGGCAATGATAGTCATCTGACTTTTCTCCAGTTCTCCTAAAAATTTGTTTATTTATAAAACAGTACATTCACTTTTTTTACTAACTGTTACTGGTGAACTCTATATCACATTGGAAAGCAGTACATTCAGTTTCTTTTTATTGTTTTGTATGTTTTCGTACTATATGCTTCTACTGAAACTTTTGACATAATCAAGTAATTTGTAAATTATTCTTCTTGAACAGGCTATTCTTGGTGGTAATGTTGAAGTTCCCACCTTGTCCGGGAAGACAAAAGTGAAGGTAGGAGTTCCGACTTTGCATCTAAAGTGTATTCATGATTCACCTTGTTCTTTCTTTGTTCTGTGAAGATCTCTGTGAGTACTCCATCTCATACTCCTCCATGGTTCTGCTTCCCTGGATTTATATCTTTTAGGCTTAATGGTCCTTTGATAGGACACCATTTTTCTTTGGTCAGTAGATCATGTGAATTTTCCTACTGGAAACACAATTGTTCAAATGCCTCTTGCAGATAATTTTTCCCACTTCGATGTCTCAACAAATAACACACTTGTTAGTCTTTAGTATTCTGATTGACAAGAAGCATGACATTGATATGAACAACTTCAGGTAACTTGATTTTGTTTACATTTTGTCCAGATACCAAAAGGAGTCCAACCTGGGCAACTGTTAATTCTGAGGGGTAGAGGTACAAAACATAATGCCTTTCGTGCTACTGTGATGTGCTTGCCATAGGTGCTAATTATATGGTGAAAATATCAGGTTTACCGAAGCAAATTGGCCTAGTTGATCATGGTGACCAGTATGTGCGATTCCGTGTGCATTTTCCTTCGTAAGCTCTTTTTCACAGAATAATTGTTGAATTGTGCTTATGGTGACAACACTTGATGCATTAATTGATTCATTGGAGCCCCCTCAGTCAACTGACTTCTATAGTTGTGAAAAAAAAATTTAAGAAACTGACAACTCATTGTCTTATTATGTACCATATCCATGAAATTCTACATGTAAATCGGCATTGTCACAAATAGAATTGAGTTCATCTGGATATAACCGCACAAACTAGAGAATAATGACTGATAAGTGGCACCATCATAATGCAGCACCAAGTTGTCCCTGTCTCATATATTGATACATAACAAATCTTATTGTATGACATATAGATATTATATAAATAGTGCATCACGTTTGAAAATATCATCGTGTTTAAGACTGTCCTTGAATTTTGGTTTCCTTGGAAATTTTGTTCAAAATATGGAAAATTTTTCATAATAAAATCTATCCACAAAAATTTATTTATTTACCTATGCGTCTGGTCGGTGAGGTTTTTCTTTAGTCTCACCATATGTTTGAGTAACCACAATATGCTAGTTGACATAGCTTGATTTGGCTGTATTTGGTATAACAGATGCTTGATTTTGTCTTATATTATTAAGAGGTAAAAAAATTGAGGGTGTGCCACAGCAAATGGAAGTTTCTGTCTCCTAGTATCAGCTCAATGATAGGATTAGTTTCTTTTCCAGAAGTGCAATTCTTCTAGCATGGCATCTTTGTTTGGATATTCTCTTAAATTTTACATATCAAATTGACTAATTGAGTACTTAATTTGTGCTGAAATTTGACTGATGCACTTCATTTCAACAGCTCCCTAATGCACAACGGAACTATGCTTGTTCCATTGCTTGTTCTCTTGTGCATATATAATAGGAACTGAATCATTTCTTTCTTACTAATGTGCATATAATATAGGAATTTAGATCTCACAAACATTAATTTCATCTATTGCAGTCGACTCGCATTAGCAAACAAAACAGCCAGCGTTAGCGAGCAGCTCACTGATACACTTAGTCTTGTTTGCTTGTTTCATCTCTTACTGATGCGCATATAAGATAGGAATTGAAGAATTGAATCAGATGAAAGACACATCTTGTGCAAAATTCAGTTGTTTATATTGTTTTTTCTTTGATTTCGAAGTATTGTTTCCATGATAATTGTTTTACTAGACTTTCAAAAGGATGGTAGTAGCATATTGAACTAGCATCTGCTGTGAATTTGTTATTATTATATTTTTGGGATTCTTCATTAGGTCAGTAAATGACCGGCAGCGGGAATTGTTAGAAGAATTTGCTAAGGAGGAAGCAAACCAGGAAAGTTATGGATTTGCTGATGGAAACTGGTATGTCTGTAACATCTTTACCTTCATATGCTAGAACCAAAAATTATGACTATAATAAATACTTGTCCTGGAGTTCTGAAATAGTTTTCACTATTTTACTCATACATATCAGATGCAGTGGTCAGTTAGCTAATTGCTAGAACTTTAATCGTCTTTATTTCTTGTTGTTTTGTGGTCTCTATTTTCTCCGATGGCCATTTTTATCTTGAACATGATTATTTTTTATCAAAGTATCTGTGATTGATCTGATCAAAATAACCTGTGCATGAGACACGCTGTTCTTGTCTTGCTTTTGTAACCTGTTTGTCTTTACTTTTGACTATACGCTTAAAAACAATATTCTTTTAGGTTAGCATATTTGGCTTACATATATATACCATTTAAGTACTTTATAGAATGCCATGTATGACAGGAAACAATCTGAATTTTATGGGTCGAACAGAGTAGGATACATCACCTGATGATGTACATAAGTCTTAGATTGGATACAATCAAAAGTTCTCACGTCCTCTCCATGCCTTGAAAAACACAAGTTCTAAGATAGGTTACACGATAAAAATAGACAGTAGCTTGCTGTACGTGAACACAATACTGATTTTAGGATACCTGATCTGGTCTGACTTTACTAGTGGTGCACAAATTGATAGTACGTTCTTTTGTTTGCTCATCTTCTGTTTTACAAGGATATGAAGACTGCAAGTTTGTGTCATTACAAAGATTTCTCTCTGTAGCGTTGGTCTTGATTGATTCCTGAAGTTCACAAATTCACGTTAACATGCAATGGTTTATCTGAGTGTAATTGAGATTTTGGACATGAATAACAGGCTTTACCAGCAGCTCTCTACTGGTTGAACTTACAGGTGGCAGCGAATCATCGATCAACTGACTCATCTTAGATTCATCGATCATCTGATCAGTCCTAGGTTCATGCTGGGTATCGGCTTTCTGTTGTTGCTTAATTTGCTGGTGAGCAAAAGCTTGAGCTAAGGGGCGACTTGTGCATGACAGACCACAAGATACTGTATCCATTTAGGAGAGAGATCCTTGTGTGGATAAGTCATGAGATGGAAGTTTAAGCATGACAAATTTTAGCTTTATGGGCCGACTGAGCCATGGCTGCAATCATCATTTGAAGTCTGGAACTCCTTGATAGAAGGCTTCTCTTTCTGAGATCCTAGTGCCTGATTGATATCAGAACCTCTGCTTCTTGTAACCGTTCATAATTTGTCATCATCTTTTAGTCATGGCAAAGTGATTTTTTTTTCCCTCGATTACTCGTCGTCCTTGTTGGGGAAGAAAATTGTAGAGTTACACACATGAGAATTCTATTTAATCATGAGGCTGTTTGGAATAAAAGGAACGTGAGATATGCAATTCCTCGTCTGCTATTTAATCATGGCTTCTTTTGTTATTGAGATCGATCCAATCTCATTGTGATTGGCTTTTGAATCATATTCATATATGCCCTTTGTGAAGTGTTGTCGAGGCCATCTCTGCTGCTACTAGTACTGTTCATTAAAACAACCCCAGCTTATTCTTTATTTAAAACATTTAACAGCAATTCTGTGAGTATACGTTACTATGACTTCCTGCCCACTGGTATGCGATGTTCTTTGCTATGACGATGGACGATGCGGCCCATTTAAGTAAGCCCTTTGTATCCATCCACACAAAGGTAGGCATGCGATGGGAGTGATCGTCGTCTTCGGTCTGTCCACATTGTTGTGAAATGGATATGGAAAGATGTGACTGTCGACGATGTTCATCGAATACACGTCCTCGTCCCTCATCACCATCACAAGAACACATGTTCCCTCCCATTGGTGTTGAGTTCACAAACACCATCATATTGGCCATATGCAAATAGGCCCCTCCTTTGTTTTCTTCCTCGTAACAATCATCATCAAGCTCTAGCGAGGTGTTAGTCGAAGGCTCGGTAGCGAGAGTCGTGAGTAGAGCAAGAGCATATCGTTGCTGCTACTGTGATTGCTGTTGCTGTGAGGGTACAGGCGTTCCTTCGTCGACTGTTAGTAAATCAACAAAGACTATCGCGATAAGAAAGATGAGAATTGACCGTGGAGCCTCTTAGGAATTTGATTCCTTCGTCGACTGTTAGTAAATCAACAAAGACTATCGCGATAAGAAAGATGAGAATTGGCCGTGGAGCCTCTTAGGAATTTGATTACAGTGGCATTGATTCAATGTCGGCAAGGGCGAAGCTTTGCTTTTCTCGCCAACAAATCCAATTCATTCTCAATGCAGTTGAAGCTTATCTAATCGTTGTCGTTGTTCTTGGTGGTGGAGTTACTACTGGGAACAACAACTGAGTCGAAGTTGACGATGAGGTTGGAAACTTTACTGTCCCCCCCGATTTCTTAGAGGTCCTATGAAGCCGAACTTGGTGGCGGTTCTGGATAGGTACTTAGTAAAGCAGCGGATGAGAGCAGGAGTAGTGTGACTATGATAAGCAATCTGATGATAGATTATGAGATATTAGGACAGGCTACAACAAAAGTAGTCGAAGAAAGACGACGAGGAAGGGAGCCGATTGAGCGGATCAAACAAGACAAGATACTTGGTTCTCTTTGGGGCTAAAATGGAATCAATCCCTTATCTAAGTGACCCGAGTTAAAAGTAATGACAATCGAATGCGATGGGGCCAGAGAGTGAATCGGAGTGTCGGGGTTGTAGAGGGCTCTCGAAGGAGGCAACGGAGGAACAAGCCATCTTGTTTCCAAGGATGAGCAGCACCGTGGAGAGAGGACCGAAGCTATCGGCCTGCTCCAGAATCCCGTCACCGCGACTGATCGCAAGATTATGGTCTTTGGACAGTCTTAAAACGATTTAATTATTTATGAGGCCGTTCATCCCGAGGATGTCACGCGGTAAGCCAACCGAAAGCTCTGCTTACCTCCTTTACTTCAAGAGTCGCGTCAAAATCCAGTCACCGTGGTGACAGTAAGATGGCGGTCTTTGGATTGTTTCGTAATGATTTAACATCGTCTAGATCATTACGCGATGCGGTAAGCGCACCGAGAATTCTACTTACCAATTTCTCATTTTTGATGCGACTTCTTCATCCTTGGATGCGTCGGGCGATAAGATCACCCGAAGACATCAAATCCTCCATCCTTCACTGAAAGACCAATGAATAAGGACGGCGGCGCCTCTTACCGCCTCCGGTCTCGTTCCCCTCACTGAAAGACCTAGAGTCGTCTGTGTACAGAGAACTGAAGACGAGGGAGTGTGGTGGCCTAACCTAACCCAACCCAACCCAAGGCTTCGCTGTAAAGATGCCTGACAAAAGGTCAGAATGTGATGGGACAAAACCATTAGGTACGACGCAAAGGGAATATTACTATACAGTCTTCCATGCTTCCACTTCTGTTCTTTGTGACCTTCCTCTTTATTGGAAGCCTATAGATTCTTTGAATTCATTTCTGGGATTTCAATGTACTTCGCTCGCCATCTCTTTGATAGCATCATCTGCGATTAAAATATGTGCTGCTGCCTCGCCTCAACCCCTAGTGACGATTTATGGATTTGGGCTGCGAATGCTAATGGTTTGCCTACAGTCGAATCTGCTTAAGCTAGCTAAGGCAATCAAATGAAACCAACAACAGGGAGGGCTGCGGAAGCTTATGGAAGTTGCACAAAGTGTTGGGCTAGCATGCCTATGACAACAAGATTGACAGCAATGGGCACCCTTGCTGGCTATGTGATGAGGATTCTGACTCCCTCGGCTGGTATGCCTTCTTCAGCTGCTCTATTTGAGTATCCAGTTTCAACACAGAAGGGATTGGACGGAAGGAAGGCGCAATGCTGACCAGAATCATTTGTTTCTGAGAGTTGCTAATAGCTTATGGTGCTTATGGCGAGCCAGAACTGAAGCTAAGTTCAACAAAGCCATGCATGTATTAGGTCATTGCACATTGATCGATCTTTTAGTCCACAACAAAGCCAAGTGGTGTTGGATATTGCATTGTTGCCGATGGCAGGAATGCGTTGGAGCCTGTGAAGCATTGGCCATGAAGGAATGAATCTAGTGGCTTGCGTCGTGCTATTCTAGAAACCAAAACGACTCCTCTAATCTGGAGGAGGGTATTAACATGACATCCACTTTTGATGCTGTAAGGGTGTAGCATGATTATAAGGAATGCATGCAAGACTGTCAACAGGATATCCAATCATACCAGAGTCATCCGGTCCAGTTGGATATGGAATTTCCTTTTTCCGGATGACCTTTTTGATGCTACTGGTAACCATTTCATTTGTAGGTAATTAGATCTTCTTCTCAGGGGAGAAAAAAGTGGCAAACTGGTGAAATAAGACTGAACATTCTTTGTGTCGATTAGGTCTTCAGCTGTTGTTTCTCTTCACACCTGATTTGTGCATGAGCAGACACCATCGATGCTGACTTGTGGTTGATTCATAGCTGACCTCCTCCATATTTAGTTAAACGAAGGTGAGTTCTTGTTTCTCATGCGCCTGAGGTGTAGGTCTGCCTGTCCTCGACATATGGGCTTGTGTGCAACTTCAACTGTTGCTTTCTGGGGTAGCTGATAGTTAAGCTCGGTAAGTGAGCTGATGAGATGCTCTTAACGAGCAATGGTGGGGTTTTATAGGCTGTGGTGACTTGAGATATGCATGTGGTGTGTCTTGTGCTGGGGACTTGTGCATGTACTTGTATAGTGATTCCGTAAACTCTCATTTGCCAACATATCTGCACCAACAGTTTCTTATAGTTCTCCTGTTTTCCATGTGATTGGTTTGCACTGCAATCATCTTTTTAGGGTTCTTCTTTCGGGGTGAAAGTTTTCTGCGAGAGTTGGGAGGGGGTTTGTTGTGTTGGTTGCAGGTAGATTATTCGGTAGCTTTGTTGTGGATTTACCTTTGATTTCCACAACGTAATCTGATTATTTTAATGTGATACGATGATTCAGATGCAGACAACCGGAGGGACAGCGGCTGATATCGTAGAAGATTCAGATGTTTGCCAAGATGGAGTCCCGAAAGGCTTCTCGAGCCTCATAATATCTGTTTCTTCTTCTTCTTCTTCTCTTGTTGTCTTTGGATTCTTGTAAGATCCGAACATGAAACGCTTAGCAATCAAGATAAGGACGGGTTGATGCTGGCGATGGAAGGATGAATCACGTAACCACAGACAACATTAATGGGATCATACTGGGTCCGATCTAAAGCACTATCTATCCCTTATCATCATCACCTCACACCGTACCGCTTCACAGGATGGACAGGCGAAACGCACACGGATTGGCCAAAGGAGAGGGAGAAGGAATCCAATCATGCCTGCGCATGCAACAGCAACATTGTTCATTACTTTTGGCTTTAAAGGATCAGTTAATGACCCCTCAGGGATACGTGTAGTACTACTTTTGCAACTGTTTGTTTTCTTGTTTTTGTTATGATGAAGTGATTCTAAAGCTTGTTGTTAAGTATGGAGTCAGACGAGGCTCATGTTTTGGGCCTGTGGCTTTATTATTATTGTTGTATCTTGAGATCATATCATTATCGTTCTCTCTCTTCACTCTCTGTCTCTCTGTATGCATAGAAAGAAACCACAGCAAAGTCCATGTTGACTCTGAATTCTTCTCTGACATATATAATCTTTCAACACTGAAGGTTCTTAGCTGAACACTGTGGGGGAACAATGGATCGGGATGAATCATTGTGGTTTTGCCGGAGATCGACTGTGCATGGCTCAGTGGAGTACGGCAGCTTCTACACTTGGCTCCGTGGTCATCATACATTGTTTACCGAAGGCTTCTTTGACAGCTTGTTCTCAGAGATCTGCTTCCATGTAGCTGATGGTTTCTTCCACTTCCCTTCCACGTTTCTCAAGCCTCATCCCGACGCTGATCTAAAGGTTGGAGAGATTGCATAAAGCATCCTATGGATTGTTCTAATTACATTTCTTATGAGAGAGAAAGAAACAGAGAGAGAGAGAGAGAGAGCATAGTCCAAAACGAGACCGAACGAATCTTCCACGTCAAATCGGTACGTCGGCATGTCGTTCGGACGCTCTCGTGACCTTCCCATGCAAACATTTGGATAAATGACCAATACAATCCCCAGACTTCTCGAAACTGTATGTATTATATATGTTTATGACATGATTTGAGAGGTGGAATATAATGTTTTGTGAGCTGCCGTATGAAATGAAACACTATATGTTGGCTCAAAGATGGAGTTGGTGCAAGCAAAAAGAGGCATGGAGATGGATCGAAGCTACACTACATTGGGAGATTGGGGAAACAGCAAAATGGCAATGAATTCTTCGATGAAATCCAATTGCAATGATCCATCTAGCTCGGGCGACACAACCTCTGAACAAGTCCACCTAATTCTCGTACGTTCTTCCGGGATCATATTGCATTCATGTCTTGCTAAGACTTGATCATTAGTAGTACTTGGTTTTTGGCACGGGTGATGTGATCACAAAGCAATGTTATAATTTCCCCTTCGCTTGTGTCCAAATGATTTGCTCTCCATCCATCTTCTTCATCATGTGAAGGATAATAAGGTGGAGATGGGTCATGAGAAACCCCCCACGTCGAGTCCCATTCATGGGACGCACCCTTCACCATACCATGCCACAAATACTTCATCTGCAGTTACTTGCTGCATCCACCAACGTTTATGGTCAGGTAATATGCAGCATCATGGTTGCAATCTTATCTGATACTTAAAGATATTACTGGAATTTGAATGTGATTATAGAGTTCATAACACTTGTACTTGCTGATGAACTTACGAATTATTCTATTTTGTAGATATCACTCTTCCCAGCTTTAATCAATGCGAGTTCCCCCACCATGCCACCAGTAACAGGTCTATCTCGAGAAGAAGCTGTTGATTCGTCCTTGTCAGGTGGTGCAACCCAAGAAATGTGTCCTTCTCTGCGATCAACGTTGCAGTGTTCTATCAAGGTGAGTAATCATTAAGTTGTGGGTTCTGACGAGCTCATGAAGCTGTTCCCTTCTGCCACAGAACGAGCACGAACGGTTTAACCTACAAAACTTAAAGATTTACGTGGGAGATGAGAGAGAGAGAGAGAGAGAGAGAGGAGAAAGGTGTTGGGCCTTTAAGGCTGATGATTGCAGAGGAGTTGGAGGAGAAGATCACATGGCGTTTCTCCAGAAAGCATATAAAAAGAACAAGGCAAAGACATGGGTCCTTTAATAAGGGATGCGGCTGTCACCGGTGTTGCAAGGCAATGGAGAGCTTCTGACTCCAATGGCTGCTGCCACTTCTTTTCTGTCAGTCGTCCCTGAGTCGTTCGACTCTAGAGTTTTGGGCCTTGGAATCATCAGAGGTTAATTATAGCTCATCATGCGCCTCCTCTACTCTTAACAAAAGCTAACACAGACCACGTTACTCGTGTCCCTTCCCTCCGTTGGACTTATACGGAAATGTTGCGTTGCTTTTGTCACCATTGATACCTTTATAGCACCCACCAAGTTGTATGTAGCTTTTTCTCTCACCGCCACGGAGGAGGAGGAGAAAGAAGAGCTCGGTCTCAGTATGTTTGCGCCCATCTAAGCTTTCCTTGGTGTTAGCGTCCGAAGAGAGAGAGAGAGAGAGAGGCATATGGCACTGGAAGCTGTGGCGCTCCCACAGGACCTCTTCGGTTGCGCCATGAACGAGTTGTACAACATGGGAGGAGCAGCGTGGTGCTACGCCTTTGGTGATGAGGGGGAGGAGAAGGGTGTGGCGTTAGATTGTAAGATAAGTGGTGGTGGAGGAGGTGGCGTGCATGGGAATTTGGACGTCTCTTCGGGTGCAAGCTCGTCGCTGCTGGAGACAGCTGCCAAGGACGGCGCCTTGGTCATCGGCCGAGAGGCAACGGCAGGGGGGAGGAAGAGGCGGCGCACCAAGGTTTTCAAGAACCAGGAGGAGGTGGAGAACCAAAGGATGACCCACATCGCCGTGGAGCGGAACCGGCGGAAGCAGATGAACGAGTACCTGGCTGTGCTCCAATCACTCATGCCGGCCTCCTACGTTCAAAGGGTCTGTCTTCCTCACCCTCCTCCTCCTCCTCTTCTCTAACCTTCCTCTGGCATTGCATTTGCACTGATTTAAGCTGCCTTTGTGTGTGTTTGTGTGTGCCACTTTTCTGATCTCCCTTCGGTTGATGTCCTCTTTATGGCGTATAGTTTTCAGAGCCAGTAACAGTATTTGCATTCATATCTGGTCATCGTTTAGGGTCCTTTGGTTCCCAAAGACAGAGGATCTAATCGTGATACAGCAACTTAGCGAGGTGTTAATGTCTGCATGAACAGGGTGATCAAGCATCGATCATCGGAGGGGCGATAAACTTCGTCAAAGAGCTCGAACAACTGGTCCAATCCCTCGAGGCTCGAAAGCGAGTCGAGAAACGCATGGACGCGGCTCCGTTCGCCGACTTCTTCACCTTCCCCCAGTATTCGACCACCGGTTCGCGCAGCGCAAACAATGACTGCGCGGACGAGGGGGCGACGGAGAACCGGCCGGCTGTGGCTGACATAGAGGTGACCATGGTGGAGAGCCACGCCAACCTCAAGGTCCTCTCCAGGCGGCGGCCGAAGCAGCTGCTGAAGATGGTGCTGGGGCTGCAGAACCTCCGGCTGACCACCCTCCACCTCAACGTGACCTCCATTGCCGAGATGGCCTTCTACTCTTTCAGCCTGAAGGTATGGCAGCCATGCAAACGCTCCTCTTCTGTCTTCCTTGGTTGTAACCGACAATGTCGACCTGTTCTTTTTCTTCATCCGATTGGCGTAGGTGGAAGACGATTGCCAACTGACATCGGTGGATGAAATTGCAACTGCGGTCCATCAGATGGTTGGGACGATTCAGGAGGATGCTGATCGCGACAGCAATCTGTGATTGTAATCTAACCACAATAAGTAGATCCAGCAATCCACTACTGTTCTTATATGCAGCTTTGAGATCTTGTTGTAGTGTCTCAATCCTTGAAGAGTATTCAAGCATAGCTTTAATATATGAGCTCACATGCATGCATGTAGCCAATTCAAAGAGAGCCCTTCTCGTCAGGAGGTTCTACAAACAGTGTAAGTGCTCGAGTTACATACGTAGAGAGTTGTTTCCTTGTGTCGATGGAAATGGGAGAAGTGGAGAACAGGGGAAAGATTAGGAGATGGGAGATGTTGGATTCCAAGGGATTTGATGTGGACTTAATAAAATGAGACCCTTCAAAAAGAACTGAGAAGGAAAGAGAACAGAAGTTTCAAATCGAGAAAGCGACCTTGAAGTGTCGTCTTGGTTCCCATGTCATGTCATTGTTTGAGAGAGAGAGAGAGAGAGAGAGAGAAAGCATTGGGAAGAGGATAGATACTGTAGGGGTTGGGGATGAATGATTAAAAGATGAAAAGACCTAGTGACTACTTACTGCCATGTGGTGCTGCAAAGGCAGGAAGAGCCCCCCCATGAGGATTTGCTGATGGTACCATTTCACTAGGGAAGAAGGAAGAGAACAAAAGAGTGACTGCATCCTACTACTTCATGTGACAAGAGGGCCATTCTCGACGCAGTAACAAAGTCCCTTCACTGCGAGATGAGGATGACAAGATTCATGTCACCAGCACCAGATGCCCTGTGGAGGAGGGAAAGCAACGTACATCTGACCCACCCCATACCCCCACATCAATGGAGCCTCTTCTGCTGGTACACATTTATGTTTGTTCATCCCAGTATGGGGCCAAAATCTTCGGTCCCCCCTTCTAAACACTCACTATAGAATCAAATTGCTTGACCAAAAAAGGCTAAGAAACTGCTCAATCCATGATTCTAATGCTAATCTGTTCATGATAAGTTAAAAACAGCCTAATCTATCAAAAGAAAGGATATTAAAGTGCTAATGCCTATGTCCACTGAGAATCCAATACTTAAGCATCATACCTTTTTGATTATCCAAGAGGATAGAGATTATACATTTGGTGAACAGTTGGATTTCCAACTGTAGAAAGAAGTAAATAGGTTCTGTTCTACAGTGTATATATATATATAACTTTCTTGGATTTTTAACCATCCTTTTCTCATTCATAAAGGTTAGTGCAAAGTATGAAAAGATAACTGCATATTCTGGTAAGATCCACAAAAAACAATTCATGATGATTTTTGTTGCGTGCAAGAGACTCTGAATTCTTGAACACTCAAGCTCTTCTAGATTCCAAGCTAATCAAATGTTCCTGGAGTTAATGTTCTAATAATTTTAAAGGAATCAACAAAAGGTCTGTCTTATCATAGAAAGAAGCCAAAAAGTGATACATCACATTCACATATATACATATATCCAAGACCACACCAATTCCCAAACTAGAAGATCATAGCATGGCAAATACTACAAAGGTTGAGTATGTTCTTACTGACTGAGAAGTTTTGGTGACACGAATTGAGCAGATGATGAAGGGCTAGAAGTAGAAAATGCACATCATTTTGAGAGTATAAACATGAACTCGGCAGCATGTAGGAAACAGGAAGTACATATAACCTTGTAAAAGTTCTTAATCCTACGACCTGTTGTACATCATGCTAAAAGGAATCTACTTGTCAAAACACTCGGTTTGCAAGACTGTGCGGGTGGGTGGTGAACTGAGACAAGGAAGGAGACGAAGGGCCACTGTGGAAAATGAATCTGAAAAGAGAAGGGTGTGCATTTGTCATATTTGTTCTTGCATTGTTGCTGTCGCAAAAAGCACATCCAACAGCACATGCATGCTTCGTATAGAGCTCATGGTCCCCTTTAGTAGAAGAAAGAGACGTATGAGTATGTACATGGCACCTTACAATACCAGATGGAAGCTTCATGGTGATGGAAGAGCCAGGGCAGGAAACCAACAAGGCCTAGTGGTAATGACCAGCTTGAGCGACCTGCAAATAATGGCCGTATAAAACATGTGAAAGATGGAGACAAAAGAGCAATATGGTCCATCACTGGATTGACTTCTTCGGGCGATGTCTGTGCTCACTTCAGTTTCTGGAATGGTCTCTCACATCTATCTTTTGCATCCACAGATCCACAGTGTTTGCATCAGGAGATATATCTTCCTTCAACAAAGATTAAATGACTTTGTTATGCTTCAACCACGCTTCTTAAGCTGAAACTATACAACACAATGCAAGAAAGAGAATTGGGTCACATTTCCTTGAACATTAGACGAGTTGGCTCCTCAACCAGTGCAACGTAAAAGATATTTGAATGGCATAATCACCATGGAGCATTAGGAGACATGGACACAAAAAATGTAGGATCTTACACTCTTCTAATGCACACAAATGTAATGTGCATGTAAACACTAAACCCATGGCGTCTTATAAAGGACAAAATGGATGTTTACATCCACCTTAGCAACGAAAGTCGACACCTCAGCAAGTCACGTACGACATGTAGCCGTGTAAGGTGTCATTGAGATATCTTGATTGACGGTTATGCCATCTTGGCAGGTGGTCGAGCCCCGTCAGCAAATGTTACGCCCACATCGATAAGTAATTGAGTCACATCAGCAAAGGTTATCCCACCTCAGCTACTATCTTAGCAGGCGGTTGCACCACCTCCACTATCATTTTTGACTGCTTAAATCGCTTGCGTATGAATACATTCTCTTCTTAATGAAGAAACAAAATCAGATTTTTTTTCTATTAGAAATTATCGGAAGTCACCACGTTTAAAACATTTGCAAACTCAAATAATAATTCTGGGAATTTATAATTATAAAAAACATGTTATCTGAAAATAGGGTTTCTGTGATACCAAAGAAATGTTCTAATTTTTATAATACTTTCATGAGTACTTTTTAGTAAGGTTGGCAATATCGTACCGTACTAATATTTTGACCTGGGCTCGGTACCGATACGATACGGTATATCAAGCGGTACACCCAGGTGTACCGAACGGTATACTCAGGTGTGCCGCATACTGTAGCATTGCTACAGTGCTACAATGCACTCGGACCGATAACAGATGGTCCGTATACCGACAATCGATCGGACCGGTATGTACCGCCCGTACCAGGTGGTGCAGTTCGATACTACAAACCCTGCTTTTTAGCTCCACATTTCAAGGTTACTAATAATATAGAGCTAATTATAGAGGAGAAGAATAGAGAAATTAGAATATATTATCTTATCAACTGAAATTTTTAGATAGGATGAGATTAATAAAAATAAATTAGGAACAGCAATGGTTTGTCAATATCTTGAAAGTAGTGATCCAGCAAGCAGAAAGTTGAATGTAATTGTTTTGAGATGGTCAAAGAACACTCCTAATTTGGTGTAATCTGTGAAGGTTTGCTCAGCATTTCCATTCTTTTATCTTCTCCGGTTAAGACCACTTCAAACTCTAACCTCCTCCTCGATTTGCTGCCGACGACTGCCGTTTCTCACTCTAAACCAAAGACATGAATCCTCCCGAACCTGCGTATAAAAGGCCACCGTCTCGTGCTACTCCCTCCGCGCGCGTGCTGTACTCGTGCGTTCCTCAAACATAAACAACAAGGAAGTGGCGGACATGGCTCTCGGCAAGGGAGTGATGGCTCTGTTGATCGCGGCGGTGGTGGCCGCGGCGACGGTGGAGCAGGCCAGGGCCGACTTCGACGACCCCGAGAATTGCTACTGCCCCTGCATGAGAGACCAGTGCATGCTCCTGGTTGGAGCCACCAAGGGGGTGTGCGCCCGCGCCTGCGACAAGGGCTGCCGTGAAGCTGGCTACGGTGGCCAGCCCAATCGTTTCGAGTTCTGCGGCTTCTGATCTCCATGCACGATGCCCGATCCTGCACGCGTCCATCCATGTCAAGACTCTCGAGCATGGCCTTCTCTCTTTTCTTTTCTTTTCTTTTCTTTGGTGGTGTTATAGGTGGGTTTTTGTCATTTTTCTTCTTGTTCTCGTGATGTTAAACATAGCGATATAATTTTAATGCGTGCTTCGGATCTGTGGGATTACATATGGTGACTTGGTCCTTTGCTCATACGATTTAAGTAGAGAGATTTCGATATATATTGATGGGTTGCACTAAGAGAGAGACTTCTGCTGGTGCATCTTCCAATCGATCAAAAGCGACCACAGATTCATCAAAAAGGAAAGAGAAAAAAATAGGCCACCGAAGTAACGTGGACGAGAAACTGTGTCCTTTTTAACCTTCCAATGGCGGCCACACTGCTCCCTCTGATTTGTCGTTCATCGAGTAAGGAGAAAAGAACTGCAAGGCTTGTCACCGGTTTGACGTCGCCCCATCTAAAGTGTTGGGTTTCATACTCGTTCGCTACTCATCTTTCTCGGTAAGCTCATTCCTGTGGTCTGCTTCCGGTTTTCCCAAGTCATATGACGAGTCTTGTGGTTGAGATTATTCCGCTCTTTCCTGCACCACTCCCAGAAGTCTCCACAAAGCTGTGGGCTGTGTCGATCCTTGTCTCAGGGCATTCCCGATACCAAAAAGTGATGCTTCTCAAGAATCTATGAGTTCCTTCTTGGTCATCGAAATCTGATGTGATGAAGAACTGCTCCGGTTGATGGATCCGTCTCCTTGGTTCTTTGAGATCTATGAGTTCCTGCACCACTCTCATTAGCACTGGGAGGTCAACTCATAGTAATCTTCCTTCGTTAGTTTCGACAAGCAAAAATATTGTTTTTGTTTTATGTCTTTCTGCGTGTGCTTTTTCTTTTAGGAAACAAGTAATGGTTCGATGGTAATAAACGCATCGCCAGTTAGATGATGTGTTCCACAACCTGTGTCTCGGGCGCCACGTGGCTATACCAATACCTTACAAGTGGAGCCAGGAGAATACCGGGGGAATGGCCCACCAAATCGGACGCTCCTGGTTTGCTGGTACGGTGCGCAGGGTGGCCGCTGTTTCCCTGGAGACGGCTCAAGGTTCATGCCGGTTTACAATTACCACCTATACGATCACCGCAGCGAGAAATAAGGCTTGTCCTTCGAGGCGGGTTTCATAGAACACTATTTTTCTTCCTTGAATTAATTTCTAATTTAATCTTTATATCAATAAATGTGCCATATTGAAATATAAATAAACTTTTGTGCAGTAGAAGCAAATGATTTTTGCCGGAAGCCATTTGACTGCTTAGATTTCCGTGGGAAGAAGAAGCCCATTGTTTCAAATAACGTACAAAGCGTGGAAAAACTCGCTCGCTCATTTGAGACTTGCAGCCTCACACAAACAGCGGCGATGGACGCCAACGCATATAAATAATCTGAGGAGTTGGATCGACTATTCCATTAATACATCTCCGACGAATTCGTCAAGCTTTCGCGACAATGGAGGTGGCGGTGAGGAGCAAAGTGCAGAGGCTGTACGACGCATGCGCCAGTGTCTTCCGCACCGGGGAGGATGAACCGCTCACGTTCGAGCAGATCCGGTGGCTGCAAAGCCTCCTGGGTAGTAATCTCTTCTCCGACACGAATCTATATGCGTCGTTAGTGGCTCTGCAACTGATTACTGACCTCGTCGAAGGCATGCAGATGGCGTGGGGCCGGCCGACGTCGGAATCGATGGATACGGAGACGAAGGGCCGCGAGTAGACGAGAGGAGTCCGACGAGCCGCCGTGGACTGGTGCTAGCGCATGCGTTGGAGCAGATTACCTATATACACATCCATGAGTGCAAAGATTTCTCGGTACGTCGGCCTCCCAACTCCAAATAGGATGTATTCATGTTCATGAAACTCCTTGTTCGTTTTCGTCAGTAGCTAAATGGATACGATTGCCAAACAGATGGGGGTGTTCTGCTTCCCGGCTGGTGCAACGATGCCTCTGCATGATCACCCGGGAATGGTGGTGCTCACCAAGGTTTTGTACGGTTCAGTGTCATGGAACGCCTATGATTGGGTCTCCAACCCCAGAAAGAGTGAGCACCTTCTTCTCAGTTCCACCCCTTTAATTCCTTCGTTGTTGAGATCAGAAAACATCTCTCAATCTTCCCTCGAAGAAAAGCAAGTTTGTGAGTGGGTAACCAACACGAAACTTGTGGAGTGCTCAACTCATAAATGGGGCAGGGAAGAGAACAGCATTACTCTACAAAAGCTTAGAAAGGTTGAGATAGAGTTTATGACACCGTCGAGGTACTCCTTGCAGATGGACTAGCAAAGGTTGTGGCAGAAGAACGCATACTCCAAGCATCCACCAGGACATCGGTCTTGTTCCCGAGGAGCGGAGGAAACATACACTCTTTCACTGCTCTAACTCCCTGTGCTATACTTGATGTGTTGACTCCTCCGTATTCTGATGAACTTGGAAGGCCATCAACCTACTACATCGACATACCCATACCTTGGCTTCCGGGTAAGCATGAACCTGCTGCGTTTTGCTGGTTTCGCAGTCATGGGAGAATGACGAGATGTGGATGCATTCAGGTTTCTGCATACTTGAAGAGGCAGAATTGCCGGATGATCTGGTCGTTGCCGGAGCGCCATACCTTGGTCCAGAGCTCATTGTTGTTGATGAAGAAGAAGAAGATGATGATGATGACATGTATTGATTAGCTTTTCTTGTACACTGCACATATTTTTCCAGCTGTACAGGTTCAGCTAAGTCGGATGACTTCTGCTGCTTCCCGTGATGATAATGATGTAAAGAGATGATGAATCACTGACTTTTTTTTTTTACCTAAAAATTAATATTGATGGAAGAATAAAAATTAAATTATTTTTATTATATAAAAATTTTAATATCAAGAGTTGAAATAAAATAATTATAAATAAAAATTTAGATTTATGTATCTTTTATGTTATTTAAAAAAAAATCTGATATTTAAGTATATCATCATTTAAAAAATTACAATGATAGATTTCAATATGCAAAGAGAACTAAATTTATTATTTTTCTTTCTATATATATTTCATAGAATTATTGTAAATGATAAAATAGAGGTTAATTTAAAATGAGAGAAAATTTATAATCTCTCTTATATATATTATTACGTATAGAGTCTTAAGAGGTTATGTTTATTTACGAACGATAGCGGAGGATTTAAATAAGTATTTAAAATATTTTTTTATAATCATGTTTATCTTCTAAGAAAATATATCATAATTAGGTTTTTTTCTATTATTTGATGATCATAATTAGAATCTTATTATATTTTATAAACTATTTTTTAAAAATTAAATAACATCATATAATATAATATTCTTTCATTTGATCTATTAATTGATAAGATTTTAAAAAATAAAAATAATTTTTAAAATAATTTTATTAATTGAATTATAAATATTTTAAAAAATACTTTACATATATATAAATTGCATAAAATATGTTAATAAATCTAATAAATATAATAATATTATATTAAGTTTGACTATCAATGCGAGAAATGATTATGTGCCATTTATATTATACTAGGTATCACAACATAATTAATTTTTTCTAATATTTATCAATAATGATCCTTATAATTTATTTTATTAAGATAATAATATATATACATAAATATAAATAGGATAATAGGTTGTTGTCTTATTATGCTATGGCACGCAATGGTGTAATGCTGACGACCAAGACAAGTCATCGCAATGCTTAGGCTACTGCACATATGCAGTTGTCCAATAACACTACTATTTACATAGTCGTTGCTCTCAATTGGACCAATGAAGGGCATCACCCTCAATAATATCAACAGCTCGTTTCATAAATGTGGGCAGCATACATCTGATGGTTCTACCTAGATTTCATCACTCGCAAGCAGACGATGAGCACAAAGAAATAGTTTCACAAATCAGATGTAATACATTACAGATTAATTCAGTAATAATCATGTTGGTTGGGATCATGTTGACAATGCCTAAAAGGCGTTTAACACGTGCTCCAACGCACTAGTAACTGGGTTGATATTGGGCCACTTGTGTAACCAGCGGGCCAATGTGTTGGATCGCATGTTTAATTAACAAATAAATTTAAATTTCATTAAATAATTATATATATATATAATTATATATATATCCTCTTAATTTAATAATAAAGCCCAACTAGTCCCACCTTGGATGTCGCTTGTCACCACCTCAATGTGTGAGTAGATAAGTCTGCTTTGTTGGTTTTTACCTCCATATATCAATTAGATTTCTTAGATTCTATTTGTGTGACATATTCATCTAATGCAGCCACGTATCTGATAGAAATAATAGAAGATAAGAACAATAAATGAAGAAGCTTTATTGTAGAAATGAAATAGCTTTAGCTTGAATACATTAACATGTTCCTCTCCTATTTATAGGATTAAGAGGGAGGATTTTCCTCAACAGAATAAATGATTTTCCTCAACAGAATAGATAAGATTTCCTCATATAGTGGGAAAATCTTATCTTCTATCATGCCCCCGCAAGATGGTGCTCCTGACAAGGATACCAATCTTGGATCATCTTCTATCATGCCCCCGCAAGATGGTGCTCCTGACAAGGATACCAATCTTGGATCGGTAAGAAAGAGGCTTCGTGAGTAAGATAAGTGTAGATCGCTGCTGCTGTTGCTGCGATTGCTGTTGCTGTGATGACACAGGCGTTCCCTTCATTCTCCTTAAGTCTGCCGAATGTTGACAGATCAACGAAGACTACCGCGGTGAGGAAGATGAGGATTGACCACGGAGCCTCTTAGGAATGCAACGGCGTTGGTCGCTGGCCGAAGGGTGAAGCTTCACTTTTCTCAGCGACGTTGGTCGCTTACCGAAGGCAAGAGCGAAGCTTCGCTTTTCTCAACGACGTTGGTCGTGGTTGCGATTACGACGGCTGCGACGGTAGAGAAGAAATCTACAGCAATGTTGCAGTGATGCTACTACAGCAAAGGAGGAAACTGCAACAGAGGAGGAAGCTGTAGTAGAAGAGGAAAGTGTAGCAGAAGAAGAAGGAAAATAGCTACAACGACGAAGAAAGGTGGGGCAGTGCTGATGAGCAGCACTAGAGATGCCGTAGCGGAAGGGAACGGACGTTGGCGCAGAGTGGCAACACCAATGATGAATTGGCAGCGAGAAGAGAGCTTGCTCTAGGCAAGTGGCTCTGATACCA